ATCTTAAATGCGGAGAGCGGGAAAACTGACCGATAAAAGGTGTGCTTCAGCCAGTCCGCAGAAATGTCAAATACGATGGCGAATGCTATCGGTCGATGTCCAGAGCGGGGTCCTCCATATTTCGTGCTCAATCGTGTTCATGGCGATGATGCCGCAGTTGACGAGATGATCTTGGGTGCCGCATAGGATGGAGTTGGACTTTGACGGGATTGTATGTGGTTTCGTTGTTGTGTCCAACCACTGCTTAATTCTACCCAGTAATTCCTTTGGTTTTCCGGTCCCATCCAACCCGTTGCCTGTAAGCATGAATATTTAGCCCCTGCGATTAGATGGCATACACATCGTAAGTGATTTTCCGCTCCTTTGTCAACACCTTGATTGGAATCCAATGCTTACGCTCCTTCCAGTGCACCACAAACAACAATGTTCCCTTGTCTTCCGCGAGTTTGACAACTCTGTCAAGCCACAGCTTATACCGGCTTCGCTCCTTCCCCACCTCCATGTCCCTTTGCTAAAACGCCATATTCTCCTGCAAGTTCACCGATTCGATGATGTTGCGCTCATCTCCGACCTCATCATTGGCCAATCTATCCACAAGCTGCCCCCAGCATAACATTCATCAAGCCGCTATTCATCCAACGGTCAGACAACAGATGTGTTAGGTCCAATGTGGTGGTATTTGAGTCGGAAAATGTCAGGACAAGATTTTGGCACCACGGAAGGACAGCCAAGAGTGAGCGAGCTTGGTTTATTATTGGTGTCATTGAGGCGTTTTTTTGCTTGGTAAGCCATTCCTCCCCCGCTTTCCAATCCTTCTGTGCATCTGACATTGTGGCCAGGAGCGCCCAGATTGTTATGGCATATAATGGCCAACGTTCGGTTGTTTGTTGGGGATCGCAAATGGACAGCCTTCCATCCAGAACAGCCTCAGGAAAGCCAGCTGTTAGCTGCTTCACCAGTTCACGGGGTGGTGGAGATGTGCGAAAGGCGAGGGTGGATTCCATATTTGGCTGCTCACTGGACCACCACAATGAGGCTTTGGAGAAGACGACGCCGTTGGGTATTTTGGGTAGAGGGAATCAGAGGAATGGGAGTACAGGGAGCATATCTCTGGGGATGAGATTTTGGAGTTGTGGTGGAATTTTCCTCTGCGCATGGATGTATCTCCTGACTGCGACTGGTAGTCGCTCTGGGGGCACCTTCTTATTCTTCCCAATGTAGTCCTGGATTATTTTGGCATTAGATACCAGAAACTCATCATCTGTATTGAATATTTCCTCAGCTGAGTGTGTGCCAGCCATAGCCAATAACGTTTGTAAGAGGTCGAGGAAAATTTATGTAATAGGGGTGGGTCCATATGGCAGCAAATAGTAGAAATATGCAAAATAAAGCTGGAGGAATAGGATTCGAACTAGGGTCGCACTACGCGGCTGGGACCCATGGGGTTTTTACCCAGTATCTTCCTCAGGCATTCGAAATTTTGGGCATTTTTACCCGGTGTTACACCCCTGACTTTGCCCCAAATTTGGCCCATTTTTACCCAGTTTACCCCCAGCATTTTCAAAATTTTCTCAATTTCTTACCCGGTCAAGGTTTCGGCCTCTAAGGGGGTTGTCGGGGTCCTCTCCTAATGGGAAACGGGTATTTCAAACCAGATTAGCACCACAATATGGTCCAAGTTGCCGCCAATCTAAGGCAATCTTGTGCCTAATTGATTGTAGCTATGTGGCTGCAAACCACATGCCTAAGAACTTGTCGGACAAAGGACTTCCAGGGAGATCGGCCCTACCGGAAGTGGGCTTGGCGCATTTCTGGGTCCTGAGTATTCATTTTGAGCTGAGTTACAGGCTATCAAGGTTACTCAGCTGATGATGATCTCCCCAGAATTTGGCCAGAAAAGAACAGAATCCATGGGTATTACGGGTCCAGATCATCCCGTAACCATGCCATTGCAGCAACTCACTAGATCGCTGATGGCATGGTAATAGGCAACCGTCGACGGGTGTCGTAGACCCGGGCTACAGCTCTAGGTGGCATCCCTACCTATTATTCCCACCAGCCCAGAAATTGTGAACACAATGCTGTTACGGACAATATCCTTACTGTCTATATATCAAATCCCAGAAAGATCTTAAATATCATTGTCTAGTGATACCTCAGCAGATATAGCACATCTGCTATACAACCTGCACCATAGTGGCAACAAATGTGCAGTAGCCATGTATGTGGGGCTGTTTGTAAACATATCCTAGAAGTTACTCGTCCTATTACAGTGCAGGCTACTTCTTTATACCCTACAGCTTGGTGTTCATATGCACATCTTTTGGCATAAATTATCTAGCCATTCTGGAGATAAACCTCAGTTGTATATTAGCTAATGATTAACTAGTGCTGATATAGCTATTCAGCTGCCAGCATAGATCCCATTCTGTTTACAGTATTTTCCTCAATGAGTATGTCAAGTTCACATTGCTTGAGAGGTGAGATAGAGTATACCTTGCGGTTGGCAGACTGGGTATCCCAAACAAGTTGCAAACAATGGTGTGGTCCCAGGTGGCAGAAGGGCAGAGTTCTGAGCAAAGACTTCAGCTAGGCACTGGGAGATGGTGCTGCCTGCTTATCCCCCCATTGGCAGAAGAAGGTATAGCAGAAGTGATCTCCATCTCTGAGCTGGTTGTTTATTGACATCATTATTCAGTCTGGAGTCAACTCTGGCAGGTTGAAGATGTTGCCAGAACCAGAAAGTTCAGATAAACATCTCTGTTGTCAGGGCTAGATGCCACATAAATATAGGTACCCCCAACTGTGGCCACAGGCCCAGGCAATCACTAGGGAGTTGGGACAGATGTAGGCCACCCCCAGGTCTACACACAGGTGGCCTGTAATAAAAAAACTAAACCCTAATCATAATGTGTATCAATCCTACAAATATCAAGTTAAAAGGCTAAACATTAGCTTAGAGGTTCCCAGAAAGCAGAGTTTAGGTCTCTCTCATTATATTTGCTCAGGTGGTTTATAAAACTGAAAAGGCAGTTTATCAACAGGGTCCCTAAAGAAACCCAGGTTCAGAGGCTATTTTCATTGAACTGTTGGATATCCTGCAAAATTTTCCCAACTAAGCCCTGACTTTCTGAGTACCGCACCTTAGTAAATGCATCAGGAAAAACCTTCTGAAGTAAATTCAGATGATTAAGATGAATGTATATTATTTTATCCCATATTATTCAATTTTTCCTCCATAACTTTTATTACCTTTTTTACCAACTGTCAGACTGCGGGCCGGGCCGTGCAAGGTCCTCGCCTAAGAACGCGCGCCTGGAACAGAACAAAGTGATAGTCAGGCCTGCGAGTACGGCAAGCGGGGTACATCGAAACCGAAAGGGCCCGTTAACTCGGTCCCTTGTCGTCGGTGATGGTCGAAGGCTCGAATCGGGTCGTGGCGGGCCCGATAAGTCAATGGCACCTCATTGCACAGAGTAAGGTAGTTCTTCAGACGATCTAAGCGATAGAGTACATGGTACACTATCGCGCCTTATATACGCGGGCCTGCAAAGGGGGTAATCGGACACCCTGGCCCCTCCTCCTCCTCCTCCTCTCCCGTTCCTGGCCGCAGAGGGGACGGTCGGACATCCCTTGTGGGCCAGGCGCTACTTCTAACCTCCTAGCACTCCTCCCCAACCCCTGGTGTCGAGTTGGGCTTGGCAACGGCTCGACGCGTCATTTTCGGTCACGTGCTTCTCACGTGTGTGTTCCTCCTACTGGGGCGCATGCGTGTTACGGGCCCGTGGTGGCCCGACACCAGCGCCGGAGAGGACGGGCCAGGTCTTATCCATGACACTAACCCCCCCTCCAATTACAGTAGCCATTTTACCCAAGATTACCTTACCTCACACACTTTTACCCCATGCTAATATTAAATTATGCCCAGAATACTCTATATCAGCTGTCTATATCAGACCAAAATAAACAAATACCAAATTGCAAATTAAAAGAATTACTATAGAAAACTGGGGTACACATACCAATTGACTTCAACAAACACTTGTATGAGGGCACCTATGCTCACCACATGGAACAAATCACATACTTCCATGTTAAGCCCCCTCAGAGCATGTCACACATTATGGCTGATCTCTATATGGAGGTGGTTAAACCCAAGTAGATAGTCCTCCATCTAAGCTTCTCTCATTTAGAGCTAGTACTATTGTTGTTGTAGATATGGAGCCTGAAATCTTTACCATTCATGATTAGATTTTCTCATAGATATTATTATCTCTTTAATTACTATAGAAGAACAGAAAGACACATCAGAGACTCCTCAAGAGAACAGATACAAGGGTGATTCAAGTGCTGGACAGGTTTATCTTTTCTGTGTTTGAGCTAGGGTTCCAGGGGGTTGGTAAAGCGTAAGAGGTATGGGTTGGGAGTAACCTGAGGTGGTAATATACAACATTGAGAAGTATGTTTGAATCAGATTAAGATTAGTACTGTTAGTAGGGACCCAGACTAGAAAAATAGCTCTCATAATACTATATTTGAATATCCTGTGATTATCATAGGTATAGTCATTGACGAACTGTACCTTCTGTCAGCCGCGCAAGGGCTGTGTGACTGACGAAAAATTTCATTGCATGGAGTACTAGTACTTATATTGAATATTTAATCAACCATAATATAGTTCAAGTTGTGGCCAGCACTAGTTTTAATCATAAGGCAGAACTAATGGCTGAGCATTACTGACCCATTTTGTTCACTGGGCCTGTGACCTGTGACTGTGTGGCCGAAATGTGCACATATATACATCATAATACATGTCACAATAGTACTCATGATAAGCAAGCCAAAACCAGGGTAAGTATGTGATTATGACCTTGTGCTTATACCTGCTTAGTATCATCTGTAATCTATATCATATTGCACATGCTTGAGATGGATCATATTTTTTAACGTGACAGTGACCACAACGTGACGGCAGCGACACGTCATCATCACTTCTTCCTCCTAACGACAACCACGAGACATCTCGAATGAGTCCCACGGGCTCAGCCGGTCTTTGTCCCTCCTGCGGTTTTGTACCGTCCTATCGGGAAAACGCATCCGTGTCCACCCTCCTTCGAACGAATGCGACTCCGCCTCACCCGCAACAACTGGAGACTGCCATCTCTGCAGCATCGATAGAGCTTGGACGCTATGATGACGCGATTCAACATCTTCACCGCCGGGCCCAGAGCCTACAAACAGAACGCGATGAGCTGGCGAGGCACGTTGCGGCATACCGCAGTGTGTTCTCGCCTATCCGTCGACTCCCGGACGAGCTGCTGCTGTTGATATTGGAGATTGTTGTGTCAGAAGATCAGCCTCGTCACCGTTCTTCCCATGGCAACTGGCAGCAGTCGATGGCGCTGCTTGCAGGAGCTCATATACATCGCCTGGCTGGAGTGAGGAATTCTTCGCAGTCCAAGACAGTCTAACACTCATCCTTGTAGGTCTGCCCTAGATGGCATGGTATCATCATGAATGCCCCATCCGTGTGGGACACCATTGCCTTCAATACCCTGGGTCTCTACAGGCGGAAATCCTCTGTCGAGCGGTGCAGTTCGGAGCTTCAAACTGTTTTGTCCCGCAGTGCTCAGCGTCCGTTGACGATCCAGATCTGCAATATGGACGAGAGCATCGACGCGTGCGAACATAGATACATGGCGACTCTGCTCCAACTGGTTGCCCAACACTCTGAGCGCTGGAGCGATGTATCGCTCGAGCTCTATTTCATGGCAGATCTACCGGCGAGCCTCATGAGGTCCTGGAGAAACTGTGTCCCTCGGCTGCAATCGCTCACTCTCTACGGCTCAACAATATGCAAGACCGAGTGGTCCACATTCGAAGGGTTTCGAAATGCACCGGCGCTCAGAAGTCTATCCTTCAGGGGAGATCTTAACGACCTGCCGACACAAATTCCTTGGGATCAAATCACTTCGCTTGAGTACACCCCCGCTTTCTGGGACTTCGGACTGCGAGATTGCCTCCTGCTCGCACCGCCCTTGCAGGCCCTTGCTCCGGGAGCCCTGTTCAAGGTCTTTGCTGTTCTCCGCAATATGGAGGGGTCGGATGGTCCTATCGACCCGATACAGTCTCAAATCGGCACACTTGATCTATTCATAAACGTTGACGATGAGATACCGCGCGCCCGCCGATACCCCGTCTCGCGCATCCTGAACTTCTTCACGACACCACGCCTGACGGAGCTCGTGTTGCTGACGCGCCACGGACAGCTCGATGACGCTGACCTTACTGGCTTTGCTGTACGTTCCGGGCTGGGGGCCTCGCTGACTCAGTTGTCGATCTCAGCCATCATCTCTGACACAACACTGCTAACCCTCCTTCCCATCCTCCCAAGTCTCCAGGGCCTCGCTGTTGCTGACCGTTTGACACACGCCGTCGTGACCGATCGGCTGCTGGAGGGCTTGACAGCCGTGCAGGGGGAAGGAGATTGCGTTTTGGCTCCGCAGCTCAGGCGTGCCAAGTTTGTAACGAACATGGAGTTCCAAATGCCCCTCTTGTACGCTTTCGTCGACCAACGCACAGCAAGTCGACCTCAAGGCGTATTTACGCTGACAATTTCGTCGAAAAGCATCAGGTGGATGATGAAGGAGAACCTTTTCGCTGAGTTGGAGGAGAGGTACAAAGACTCGGAGAGGGTGGAGATAGATATCACGAAGTATGATAGACTCGCGATATAGTGGCCCGGGAGAGGGGCGTTAGGACATGTAAACATCACTGAGAACTCATCAGCTCTAGTTTCCGGAAATTTATACTTGGTTTACGTCTGTATGCTGCTGTTTCAGCCGCCCCTAGTAGCAGTGTCCTTTCGTTTTGTTTTGTACTAGTAATCATGATAACGCCATGAGGCGTCCGTCAACTTGAAGTAAGTGCCCAAGCCTTCGAAAAGTTCGGAATGCGCTGTGATAACCTTCTGAAGGGCATAGGGGACGCGGCCAGTGGGAACATCGCGTCAGGCTGTCAACTGCGGCGCTGGTTCTTCTTCGGCATCTCGGGAGGGCCGAACGGCCGTTGATATTCTCGACGAAGGACTTGCTTGTCCGGGAGACTTATGAACTCTGCATTGCCGATGCACTCCGACATCTGTTGCGAAGGCACGGTGAGTCGCGTGACAAATATTTGCCTAATATCGCATTCGGAACATAAGTATTTAAGTTCTAGGATAGTTGCAAGTTTTTATTGTAGGAACGCAACCAAGTTAAAGAGAGACTTATCGTACACTTTCAAATATATGCATCCGAGCCCCGACTCAAGCCAGCTCCGCCACCTGTTCGCTGGACCGATTCCGCTCCGCCGCGCTATCAACTGCCGCGCAGTCACTCCACTCATCGCTATCTTCCACCACAGTCGTGCGTGCATGCGTGCCCATTATCAGCCGCGGGCCAAGCGCATCGAAGTCAAGCCGCCCCCCGACCTTGAACCCGTCCGTCTTCCACACGCGCTGATAAACGAATGGCGCGGCAGGCCGGTCCGGAGCTGTAGTCCGCAGCCATACGCGCAGCCTATGCGACGCCCCGGTCGGCACGGACCGGACCGGGACGGTGTAGATGAGGAAGGAGGTCGCCTTGGGGTCGCCGTCGACGCGGAGGGGCAGGCTGTCGATCAGGGATTTCCCAATGCCGCCCGCCTCGTACGCCAATGTGTACTTGAACAGCCGGCCGCGCACGTGCTCCCAGCGAACGACGAACTGCACGCGTGCCCGGCCCACGATGGCGTCGTAGATCTGGCACTCGGGGGCTGCCGTGTGGAGGCGCGCAAAGGAGGCGTCTTCAATTGTCGCGAAGTCAATCGTGGGTTCAGCGCCGAGCCAGAGTTCGTCGTCCCCGAAGATTCGGTGGTCTATGCCGTTGACGCGGAGCCAGACGCGCAGAGAGAAGAGGCAGCCTATCGGCAGAATGTTGCGTTTTCCCGGAAACAGACTAGGTTGAATTAGAAAAGCGGAGAAATTTGAATAACAGCACACACAAGACTGCAAAGTCCAACGTCCGCGGGTCCACTGTTAGCCGCATGGTGACAAGCTCCGCCAGCTGCCGTTCGACACCGTGGACCTGGAGCGAGAGACGAAAGTCGTAGTCCCCCGGCCGTGCTTTCCCGCTGGATGATTCGACGCTATTGAAGCTCAGAACAATATTGTAATACGGAAAATATGAACGCACGATATGGAGAGGCATAGCGGTGCCCCTGCAGCTTCGAGGGAGTATGAATAGATGTATCGCTCCCGTCTCAAGCGCAGCGGCAGCGTCTCAAGTGCAGGGGTGTGTACCCTTGCGCCAGCGAGTGCTTTTGGGGTGGGATTGGGCAGTCGGCGGACTTGGGAGTGGGATGAGTCCGAACGCAGGGCAGGGGAGGCGCGGGGCGATGTTGGGGAGGTCCAGTGGGTGTCGCTGATGCTGCTCGTCGTCGCATGGCTGCTTGAGCTGGTCGCCGTATTACTGCCGCGCTGTCAGCTGACAGGTCTTTACTCCGCCCAGGACGGCCAGACCTTCTGCTTATAGCAACGCTGTATTCCGGGCAGTCCTCGTCCTCCTCGTCGAGCGTGAGGTAGCGCGGCATGGGATGCGGAGTCGGGGCGAGGGTCGTCGGTGTGAGAGGAACGCTGCTGACGTGGGAAGATCTGATACCGCCAGTCCATCCAGGGGCTCTCACCCACTACGGTGGCAGGCAGTGGAGTGATAAGAGCCCGTTAGACGCCGTCTGCCAATCAGAAAGAGCCACCTTTAGTCTTTTCCGGGGTCGCCGGCCTGAGCCATCGAGGGAGGTGCAGTGCGTGGAAATAGCACCGGCCGCCTAGACTCAGCGGGCCGGGCCCACAGGCGCTTCATCGGCCCCTTCCGTGGGGGAAAAAGAAGAGAAGCAGATTCCAGTTTTCTTCTCAGTTGTCGGGGTGCGGGCAGACAGGATGCACGAACATGCGGCTATGCTGCCTCATGTCTGGTCGCTTCATCAACCTAACCGGTCACATAAATCACCTCGCGGTTTGATAATTCTCTGCTGTATGTGTCAGCTCCCGAGGAGCCACCTGTTCGATACAGGCTACAGACACTCGCTCAACTCTAGCAAGTTTCCTCTTTTGGTCTCTGCTTCGGACACTGGTGCCGTGTTATAACTACCATACAGCCTATCAATAGCAGCTAGCTAAATATCTCATTTTGCATGTTGGCAGTGAAGATTGGCAAGATGTCCAAATGCAAAGAGGAGCTTTTTAATTGCCAACAGCAAACTTGAATCACATATCACACTCATAGGTGTTGTGAGCAATGGGCTCAACTCTCTAGGTTCATGGCCTTGGATAGTTTATCCGAGAACTCGGAGAGAGTCCTGCTGTGCTATGGCAGAGCTCGCATAGTGAGTGGCATAGCCAAATGGCATGCACTATGGGCAAGTCGCTAGTCATTCACCTCTACTACCTGGAGATCTGTGCACAGGCCTACTCTGCCTTACATCTTAGCATTGCTGTAAAGTTATCCATCCCACCTATATCTTCAGGGCAGTGCCGCAACACATTTTGCGACCACCATCGGCGGGCAGCAGCCCATCTTTCTATATGAGGAAAAGCGTTGAAACCACCAGATTAGTATGGGGACACAACGTTGTAGAAGCAGAACACAATATATGTGCAGATGGTGTGTCACGGATAAGACCCGGCCCGTCCGCTCCAGCGCTGGTGTCGGGCCATCGCAGGCCCGTAGCACGCAGCACGTGACGACGGGGAACATGCGCCCCAGTAGGAGGAACGCACACGTGGGAAGCACGTGACCGAGAACGACGCGTCGAGCCGTCGCTGAGCCCAACTTCGACACAAGGGGACTGGGGAGGAGTGCTAGGAGGTTAGGAGTAGCACCTGGCCTGCAAGGGATGTCCGACCGTCCCCTCTGCGGCCAGGAACGGGGACGAGGAGGAGCAGGAGAGGCCAGGGTGTCTGATCACCCCCTTTGCGGGCCCACGTATATAAGGCGCGATAGTGTACCCTGTACCCTATCACTTAGATCGTCTGAAGAACTACCTTACTCTGTGCAAGGAGACATTATCGACTCATCGGGCCCGACACGACCCGATTCGAACCTTCGACCACCGACCACAGCAAGGGACCGAGTTCACGGGCCCTTTCGGTTTCGATCTCCCCCGCCCGCCGTACCTGCGGGCCCGACCATCCGTCTCTTCTGTTCCGGGCGCGCGTTCTTAGGAGAGGTCCTTGCACGGCCCGACCCGCAGTCTGACATGGTGTGCCCCCTCCGCGGCCGGCTTGATGTACATCTTGTTGATTGGCACACTGAACACGTCATGTGCAGGGCACGTGTGTGCACCGCGGGGGTAGTCCTGAGCACAGGAAGTGGAGTCTTCCGTGATGAGCAAGATAAATGGGTACATACAAGCTCTGACATACACTGTGGCGTGCCATCCGTGTGGGTGCAGTACAGTGTCAATAGTTCTGTTATCTGGGACGGTGTTCACCCACAGGTGAAACTCAACCATGGCCTGGTAGTAGAACCGCAGGGAGTCCCCTTGGGTAAATAAAGGCAAGTGTAAATTCTGGATTTATCTATCTATTCTGCATATAAATTGTGCTGTTCAACACAAGAAATCATCAGGGCTTCTGCTAAAGATTGTTTTTAAAGCAAAACATAATTCTAATGTTCAATAGCTTTGATTGATAATCAAGAAAAGAACACTTTATCTGGTCAAGGAGAAATAAAGTTCTGTATCAGAGCATAACATCCAGAATATATTGAGACTAGCTAGTTTTATGTCCACAATTTGTTAATGATAAATATGTTGGGAATCAACACAGGTCAGTCCTGGAGTCACTTGGGACAGGTATTGACATGGGTGGCATAAGAGATACAAGGAAAGACTGTGATGTATTCAATGGGTACATGTCATAGCCATGCATTTGTCACATGCCTCGGCCCGTGGACCAGTCACGGCCCACCATTTTTATGTAAAAGCTGGTCTAGAAAAGGGTGTTTGATCTGCCCCCAAAGTGGGTGACAAAACTTAGTCTGTTTATAGGATCTATTTCTTATATAAGCGGGCAAAGTTGGAACAATCTTTTTTTTTGGTGCAAATAGAGGCATACAAAATTTCTTTTTTTGGTGCATGGATTTTAAGTGTATAATCAATCAAAAGGGGCGCCGTTTATTCCCGAACTCCGAGCCCGTGATGGTTGGCGCCAAGGGGCGGCGCTGTGCCTCGTGACCGGCATGAATTCGTCAAGCGGATACTCGGCCGACGGGTCGTCGGCCGAGCGCGTTGGGCAGCCGGGCGGCACGGGGACAGGAGGGTCTGGACCGCATACGGTTGATCTAAGTACGTCAGCGGTATGTCGTCAAAGGAGAGAGGTAAGGGATGACAAGACGAAGCAGCGAGCCTTATCGCGCGCCTTATCGCTCTCGTCAGGTGTATAAAAGATCCCACACACGGTGACACTCGCGTTCGCTACCCCCTCCACAAGCGACTCGGTCTCCGCGTTGTACCCATCCATCGACGTCTCTGCGCCCTCGCTCGCGATCCCTCCCGACACTGACGCCACGCAATCGGGCGCGCCCATCGCGGAAATTGCCGCACCAAATGGCACCAAAGGCCCGCCGGAGCGCTGCTCACTCTCGCTGTTGCTTGTGGTAGGCTGAGACAACTTCTCCATGGGCGACACTGCTGGGGCAGAGGCGTTTTTTGCTGCCACCTCACGCTCAGATGGCGTCAGCAGTCAGCAGTCATATCCGTCGCTGGGGCCGGACGGCGAAGTGTTTCAGGGCAGCCGCGGCTTGGCCGCGGCAAAAGGTCAGTTGTCAACAGGCAAAGCAGTGGATGAAATGCGGATGAAGACGACAACTTTCTAGGTGTCGCAGTTAGATGTCAGGTGTGTAGATGATGTGAATAAGATGTTGAGTGCCTGTTCCCATTAACTGGCGTCTTATCAGCGTCGGTTCTTGGCAAGATCAGCGGTTACGTCCTTGGTCGGGATGTTACGGGATGACCGACATGCGGCAATGCCCGACGTCGACGGCGCCGAGAATGGCAATCGCTTCTCTTCCTTCTCCGTCATGTCGGTTCTTGGAACCAGTTGTCCTCGCGCTGCCTACAAACTCTCAACGCGCGCAGGCGGCTGGCTGCGAACTCCTATCCAGTATCGGGCACGCTCGTTTGCCGGTGGAGCGGGAGTGGCGTGTACGTGGTCTATGCCTTCTTTCGTCGCGCAGCTGACGAGCCTACTAAGCATAGCGACTAAACCTGCCCCTGGCCAGCTCCGCGCGGTGACGTGGCACCGCGACCCAACGCGTACGAGGCTGATGAGGTGGAACTTGAGAGGCGGCGGGGGAAATCGGGTACGTGGCTTGCTGGTGTCCAACGCGGGTACATTGGCTGACGCCACAACCAGGCAGTCCATCTCAAACCGTCGTTTGAGCGGATTACCATCCCCTACACTGGCAGCCTAACCTTCTCGCGTTTTACGTCGTCGCATCCTGTTCGACGCTGGTGGTACGAGAGCGACCATCGGGTGCGTTTTTCGGTGTCCACTCGGGATGACGTGTCAAACAGGCAACCTGTTTCAAAGCCAGATTCTCCCGTCTAAAGCTTAGGTTGCCCCCGTTCATCTCCTTCATCCTCCCCCCACACGTCGCCCGCACCCGCCAGTTCTTGGTACCCACTAGTCAACATAACCCTCTGTTGCGCGCGATTTGATATGAGGCGGATGCAAGGTGGATGTCGAGTTACCATTCTTCTGGACATGTCAACACTCGCGTTTGGACCGGCAGAGCGATAGGACTTGGATAGCACAGGGGATGTTGATGGTTTTTGTTGACAAATCGCGCCGCCGGCCTGATCGAGCTGGGCAGGCAATTACCGCTTCTCGCCAACCTCGCGCCTTGGGTTGGCTCGTTGCTTTCGCGGGCACATCAGTCGGTCGACCGGGTATGGTGTCGCAGTGACTTACCCTCGATGCAGCTTATCTTACCAATAGTATGCATCAACTATTTATGCTGTTATCGAATAATTCCGCGCCGAGTCACGTTCGACGAACTCACTGGCTTCACTTTCCTCTTCCAAGACCCGACCACGCGCTCCGTCAGCTCTCGTTCGGCGGCCGACAGCGCTGCCGCGTTTCGTCGCGGCATTTGGATATTCGCAGTGCCAATAAAGCCGCATTGACAGCCTCGGCATAGGGGCCATCGAACCCTGATTCCAAATGCATCCATGGGCCGCCCCCTCAATCGGGGGTCCAGGCCTGCAATCGGCGCGCTGGCGGGTGCTTGTGCAGTTTCAGGCGTCGTTTATCTGTACAGATCCCCGCAGATGTCGAGCGTCTTCCCCCTTCCGCCATGGCTGCTCTTTCGTCTATTATTACCGTGACTGGGTGCGCCTTACGACAGCCTCGCGCGTGGTCGTAACCTGACAATTCATGCACAGGCCGCTGCTGGTTGGATCATGGGTCAATTCGGTGCGGCCTTTGGCGCGCGCATACTGTAGGAAATGCTCATATCCCGCATCTAGCTGCTCTACAGCGCGGAGCTCGCGCAAGTTATCAGGTACTTCACCGCCTACCCGGACGACGAGTGGCTGGTCAAGGCGCTCGTGCTGCTTTGCTGGCTGATCGACACGGCCGCGGCCATTGGGAGCTACGCCGGGGTGTACCTCTACACCATCACACATGTAGGAGACATGGAGTATCTTAGTCGACAGAACTGGGTGCGTGTTCACTTGGACCGGAGATGACCGTTCGTTAACGCCAGCTTTCAGACCTTCCCCTTCATTGTGTTCACCACGGGCGTCGTCGCAGCCCTGGTTCAGTGTTTCCTCGTCGTCCGATACATGCGCTTGTGCGTTGGGTTCATGTTTCCGTGGAGTCGTCTGATAAACCACGTTAGCTCGAGAAATGTGCTGTTTTCCTTATTTCTCTTCTTGGTCATTGGACTCGCGGTCCGTCCATCTCTGCGACTTGATTACTTATTCCCTTACACCTTGTAGCTTTCCGCGTCTTTTGTCGCCGGCGTCATCGTCGGCCGCTATCCCCTGTACACTGATAGAGGACGGCTCCAAACCCCAGCCATGTATGTTGCCCGCCCTTCCCGCTGGTGCCCTCTGAGCGCTAACCATTTAGGCTCTGGATTATCTCCCAGGCGGTCACGGACATCCTCATCGCGCTGGCGCTGGTCTTGGAGTTCCGTAAGGCGCGGAGTAACTTCCGCAATACGCAGAGGTCGGTCGTTCTTGTGCTTCCGCAGTGATCGCCGACCCGCTCAACGTTGCACACAGCGTATTAAATCGCCTGGCCGTGCATACGATCCAGACGGGAGGCGCAACGGCGACCGTCGCGACGGCTGCGCTGGTCGCGTACCTCGTGAATAAGCAGAGCAACGGTGAGCGCTGTCATGTCCCCGTTACTCTAGACGGCATAGTGAGACTGTCATAGTTCCACTGGGGATCGCGTATTCCATGGGGCGGGTGTATGTCTTGACGATGGTACGTCGCCCACGCGTGTGATCGTGGGCGACGAGACACTGACTCGTCACGCCAGCTGTCCAATCTCAACTCGCGCAAGAATATAGGCCGCGGCATTGGCGCGATGAGCGAGGGGGGAGCCACCGGAACGCAATTCCACGCCGAGGGAGCGTCGGGGGAGAGCGGCAATTTGGGCGGGATTCGTAAGTCTCGCGTTACACTGTTCGGACTCGGGTTTCTCAGCCGGCCCGCAGACATCCACCGTAGCGCCGTTGTGACCATTGACCCGGAAAATGGACCCCGGATTGCGATGGAGGCGCTCAATGCGGTCAGTTTGTCCCGCGTCATTGCCCCAGCCGGACAGTCTTGCTGATTGTTGGTGTAGTCTCGGCATGCGGACAAGACGCGTACCGAAAACGAGTCCGACGCTGCAAGCGCGGAGAGCAAGGTGCAGGATTCAGTGTGGGCTTCCAGGACGTAGACCTCTCGATGATTTTATTATGTATACTTATAGTTTAATCGTAATATGGGATACTCTTGGATGATTCACTGGATAACAATTGGCAAGGTTCGTTCAACTTCGTTGATGGTGAACTTAGCTACATTCGTGGGTTGGAGCCAAGTTATAGCACCAAGTAGTGCCCAGCCAAATCAACCTTGAATCAACCCACACCAAGACCCGGTGGGATCGCTTTCGCAGGTCCACTGGGTGCATGCTTCAAGGAGGGCAATGTAGACAGGACCTCCCCGTCTTATAACCTGGCCACTGCAAAACGATAGCGGGCATGCTTCGTGCAAAATTTCTGCGCGACCAGTAAGCCATCAACATTAGTGCTGGCCAAATATGATTATATTATTTTATGGGCATAATATATTATAATCATATCATATAGTATATTGTATACTGACCCATTTTGTTCAATTCAGTTGTTCAATTCAGCGGGCCTGTGACCCGTGACTGTTTGGCCGAAATATCAAATTCAGCCAGAGGCCAAATTTTGTATAACCTCTTACCTAAATAGGAAATTCAGCGTGCCAAAGGGGCGAAAATTTTGAGATCCTTCCAAATCAGGATGCTTTGGAACTCTGTGACCGGCCGAAATATTTCGGCCAGAAAATCTGATGTGACCGTGACCCGCTGAATTGAATGAAATGGGTCGAGCGGCACCATGTACTCCCAATCAGCGCCCACCCGTTGGAGACCATTCGACCACCACAGTTCACTCCCCACCGCCAGTCGTTGGACCGGCAGCAGCACCATTCACTCCCAATCGACACACACCCATCGGAGACCATTCAGAGCCACTCTGGCAGCTCAAATAAAATACCAACTAAAATAGATTTGACATGTGAGCGAGTGATGTAACGCTGTCAGCTGCCTCAAGATGTTCCGTTTCTCCCTCATTTCTCTTCTTCCTTGAAGCCCATATGGCCAGAGGCCTTCGTGGTCAACAGAGAGCCGAGCGAAGAAAAGGCCGTCCGCTACGCCATGTCCTATATGGCGGAGGGACCTGCTCAGCAGTGGGCAGAGCATCATGGAAGTAAAACCCCGTTCCCCTTCCCTCGGTGGAACCTATTCCTCTCCGAGTTTCGCCTTCGGTTCATCGAGGAGAACGAGCAAGACCTTGCACTTGCCAAGTTGGAGAGCGCAGGTTATCATATGGGAACGCGGGACGTCTACGGATACACCGACAACTTCGAGGACCTAATGGATCTCGCTGGATTCGAAGACGCGTTGGTTAAGGTGACCAAGTACTGCCATGGACTTGACCCCCTGATCAACAATGGCATCACGTCCTCGAACGACCCCCCAGACCTCCGTGACTATCTGGGCTGGCGCACTCGGGCTTTCCGCCAATACGAAGCCTTGGTGCGGGCAAAGCTCATCAAAGGGACAAGCCCGCGGACACCTTCGGGGGGCTTTGCGTGGCGCATTCCCTATCGCCCGTTCGGCAACTCCGTTCCCCATCTGCCCGGTGGCCGCACCTGCGCCACCCGCGGCCCGCGCCCCCGTCTCGGTACCTCCGGCTCCCGTCCCTATGGAGCTGGATCGTACTAGGGCTCGGGGTGCCCCTTGTCGAGCCTGCTTCAGATTAGTGTTCGTCACGGGCCACCCGTGGGTAAATCCGGGGTGGCCCGCGTTTCAGCGGTCCACCGGCTACAGCAGCCACGCCAAGGCCATGCCGAGGCCACCTGAACGATGTCGGCTAGTGCTGTTGCGGGTTTCGACCCCCCAGCAACAGCCGTCGTGGCCATCCGAGCCAAGTTGGTTACAGTTGCTGATGGTTTCGAAGCGTCGGAGCTTGGCCAGAGCTGGCTACCCGGCTGGCTATCGGGCTGGCCGGGCCAGGGACGGGGCCAGCGGGTTTGGGGCATCAGGCCCGCACCCGTACCCGCGCAGGCCCGTCCTCATGGCCCGTCACGGGTCACGCCACCCGTGACGATCACTACTTCAGACGCGGCGACCCCAATCACTTGGCCCGGGATTGCCCGCTCCCCGCCCGACGTCCGCCATGTGGACATCCTCGACGAGGTAATCCAGCAACTCGGCGACAAGATGCTGGGAGAACTACTCGCCCGGTTGTCTGACACTGCGGCCCTAGCAGAGGTGCATTCGGAGGTTCCGGCACACCCTATATAGCCCATTCTTTGCAAACGATGTGGGCTGAGCTGCAAGGCTCTAATGCAAAAGATGTGAAACAGGGTTTAATTATTGAATTTCTCAATGGAATTGAAAGATATGACTAAGCTAAAAATTGATATAGTCATATAAATCACCTTTTCTTCAGGCCGAATACTCGTAGGGTAATACTTTGGACTTATGTGGCAGAAATAAGGAAATAAATTCAGAGATTAGGTAAGACTGATGTGGCATCACCTGGTCATTAGATCTAGTGATGGCAATCAAAAATCGTTCCACATTAGGTAATATTATCTAAATGCCCTGATCCCATCAATTAAAACCCACCAGAGGGCTTATAAATAATTATTTTATTGTTTATAAGTTTTTCTTTGGGCACTTGCCCTCATCTTTTGCATTACAGCCTTGCAGCTCAGCCCTCATCTTTTGCAAAGATACAGCTATATGAGCTGTCCGGCAGAGGATTTTGTCCCCCTGCGACGAGTGACTGGTGTGCCCTTGTTCGCGTCCGTAAATCGTTTGGTGAGCGCAAAGAGAGGCTGTGCAAGGGCCGAGAAATCCCGAATGAACCTGCGGTAGAAGTTAGCAAAACCCAGGAACTGCTGGACGTCCTTTTTATTTTCGGGCGGATGCCAAGCGGAGACTCCAGCGTAGGGTGCTGTAAGTAATTCCCCAGCCAATACTTACAGGTGTTTCTAATAGTTTTTAAAAACAGGGGTGTTTATAAACAGTTTTTGAAACAAGGGGGGGGGGATTACTTAATATACTTTAGTGTCTATAATAATTATCTAGTACTACTACTTCTATAGTCTGGTACCACCCTATCATTAGACTACCTCTTGATAGCAAGAGTATTTTCCATCTCAGCAACTAGGTATCTACTATCCAGAAGGAAATTACCATATTTGGTAGTGTTGATTGTGTGACTGATGTGATATAATGTCACACATGGCTGTTTACAAACACCCCCCACCCCCAGGAATTAGAAACTAACACTGTTTTTAAAAACATGTTTCTAACTGGTTTGTAAACCAGATCAACTTACAGCACCCTACTCCAGCGACTTTAACGGGATCCATTTCAACGTGGTTGTGAGAGATGATAACCCCCAGGTACTCGATTGACGATTTCTCGAAGTCGCACTTCTCCTTGCAAAGGTACAACTTGTGCATTCGGAGTCGCCAAAGGACCTCCCTGATGATCTCGCGGTGCTTACGGAGGTCCGAATGCGTGATAAGGATGTTGTCAAGGTAGATCATAACGTCTCCAGAGAGGATGGAGATGGTATAACTGCCAGGTAGCTTTTTTCTCCCAGGTCGGCAAATCCGAACGGGGGCTTCGGAGGGGGCAGGGGGTGCGTCTTTCGTTGCGGGCTCGTTGTAGGGCAAGGGAGTTGATTCATCATACAAACAAGTGAAACGATTTACGGACGCCGAAGGGCGGGACAGACTCATACTCCGAGCCTGAGTCAGCACCAAACCTGGCAATCTTGTCTGGTTAATCCCATATAGAGAGTTTCTTCTGCTGTAAGGGCAACCCCGGAGGCCCGAAATCAGGGTCCTGGCAGGGAAGGATCCAAAGAGTGAATAATGGGAAGCAAATGCAAATGAGGCTGACCTAGCAGGGGAGGATCCAAAGAGAGAGAAGAAACTCCAAGGGTCTGCCTGCTAGGTAGCTGAACTATATACTGTGCTCTTGACATGCCAAGTGTGATTGTTGCTCCGAGCAGTATGCCTGCACCATGTCGCAAGCCAGGTGCCAGGCGGATCTCCAGGGTGGGGCGCATCAGGGTGATGCAATCACCAGAATCGGAATCGGACCGGAATCAGGGTCGGAATCAGCAGGCCGAAGGGGAGGTTCCCCTGACACCTATGCTCACAGGACTGAGTCCTATCAGGCCAATCCTACTTCTACTCTTTTTGTATATACTCACCATATCATAGTATCTAGATTTCTCCAAGCAATCAGGGTAACTACCATTGATTCCTTTTGAAAATTACTGCCAAAATGAAATGAGTTGATTTATATATCATTTTAGAACATTCATCGATAGTTTTTATGCAATTTGAAATTCTCACAAAGAAGAACTCAATGATTGGAGTTAATTCATAAATAATAGATTGCTACATGAGCTATTTTCCCAAGTCGGACTTCGCTCTGACTCTGATACCCCCGAGCCAATCTCATGTCCCCGTCCCGGACCCGTCAGCCGCCGTACCGTACACGGCCGTAGCCGTATACGGTACGGTCTACAGCCCTAAGATTCCTCTCGCGTTTCCTTTTTTTCCACTGAAGACCAAATTTAAAACAATGGGTATCTGGAGACCCCATCAGGGTACAGCCGTTTCAGCGTGCTCGTTGAGCCAGAGCCAGCTCTTAGTTCTAAGTTACGTAGGTCTTTTCTATGCCATCAACTTCTCCCATAGTACACATAAAAACGAAACCCTGGGTATAGACACTACTCCTCCTCCTCGCTCTCGCTGTCCGGGTCCAGCCCACACTTCTTGAGGTCGTTGAGCCACGGCGACTGGATGCGGTCGCGCGCGGGCATCGGGGGCACGCTGGTTGGCGGGACGATGGAGAGGATGAACGCGTGGAAAAGCGCGTTGATTTCGCGCGGGTGCGTGACGGCGCCAAAGTGGGGCGCGCCGGCGATTTGCTGCACAGAGACGTCACGCACGCCGGCGATGCGCAGCCGGTTTGCGACCTCCTCAGTGGTCTCGAGCGGGTAGGCGATGTCTGCCCCGCAGTGGAGCTGTGGAAGGTGGGTATCAAGAGGAGAATGAGAGTGGAAGACGCACGAGACGGATTGGGCACTGGATCTTGCTGAGGGCCTCGATGGTATAGGCCTTCCGGAGCGTGAAGAAGTCGACGGTGCAGACTTGCCAGTCTTCAAGGCGCTCGCGGGACCACTTGTCGCCCAGCAGTTCAATCGAGCGCGCGAGGATTCTGTGTTCTGATTAAGACCAAAGAGAGAAGGATTTTAAAGAAACGCACGCATCAAACATATCGTTCTGCTCTCCGTTCACGCTCAACTGTGCAGCTCCAGTAAACGCATCGCGCATCGCGCTGTCTGCCGCCTTTAAATCGCCCTTGCCTCCGTTGTTCTTCGCGCCTTCCTCCCAGCAGTCGTAGATCTCCTGCCGACCCGCCGCAACGTCTTCTGGCTCCGTCAATGGCAGGCTGGAGACAACGAAGACGGACTTGACGTTGGCGGGGAAGAGAATTGCCGTCTGGATTCCAATGCAGCCCCCCATCGACATACCGAAGATATGGTACTGGGCAATGTCGAGCGAGGCCATGAACTGCGCAACGTCACGCGCAGCTACCTCACGCCCATATCCAGGCCCAGCACGGCCGGATGTTTTGGCGTGGCAGCGCAGATCGAGGGCCACGAGGTTGAACCGGCGGAGCTGGCGGTCGGAAAATTGGGCTAGGTTGATATTATTAGGGAGATGAGAGAAGGGTAGCGCGGCGCACGGTGGTAGATGACCTTCCCAATGTAGACTGGGTGAAGGAAGACGATTGTCGGGGCCCCTCGCTCGCTCTTGGGGATTTTCTTCACGGCCGTCTGCGTTGGGGTCGAGATGACATAGCTAAATGTGATCTTCCCCGTTGCCGTCTTGAGCGTTGTCTCGTACATCGGACAAGTTATTGACGGGCGGCGGCTCCGAGTCGAGTCGAGGAAGGGGGTGTGGACAAGGGAAGCAGGAACCACACGCGTTATAATATATAAAGCAAGCAAAGTTGCCGGGCGATCGCTGATGGAAAGTCTGTTCCTCCTGAGTGCCCGTGTGTACCTATCGGCTGGCCTAGAACCACATGATCTGGAGATGCGAGGGGTATTATAATTGCGCTGGCCCTCCGCTAACGCGTACCAGGGGCCGGAGTTCCCTGTCCCCACAGAAATGCCGGTACTATGCCAGTAAACCCCGCCGAAAGAGGGATATCCGACTATGCGCTAGCGATGCACGCGAGTGGTGCATTTTAGGGGCGTAGATCCCCACATGTGATTGGTGAGTAGTGATTGGGCGTACGCCGCGCCGACCGCTCGTCGACTTGTCGCGATAGTCGCGTGGTGGCACCTCAATCCGGAAGGGCACGGCGCTACATATGGCCAGGCTGCCCCCTAGAAAGTGAGCGAAAACAGGGTGTGTGGGGCGCCAGTGTAAGGGTGGACACTTAGGTCCAGCTATATCGCTAGGGATGGCGCAGGGAATTCAAATCCTCTGTGTCTAAGTGTAAGCTCGTGGCGGTTGGTGGAGAAGTTAGGAGATGCGTGTCAGATCAATTAATCAGCCGCGTGGCCGGGCACATCATGATGCCGTCACGTCCCTGTCACGACCGTGAGGGCATCTTTTTCTCATCCATGGCACTCGACTAACAGCTCCGGATGGAGCAGGGTGCATCCAGCAAGTGGAGTTAACCTCCCCCCCCCCTTCAACATCCCTCGCATAGGTGCCTCCATCGGACGGGTCCCCGGCGCCACGTCACCGCTTTCTGCAAAGCGGCACCGAGCTATTGAGCCTACTAGATCATGTTGTCAATCGGCAGAACTGGCCTCTTGCTGGCCAGTTCAAGAATACCGGCCCATGCGTATTAATAGGACACCACTCGTATTTATAGTTGAGTACCTCCGCCTTCTGACGATCGGCGCAACTGCTGGGTTATTTCCCAGGTCAGCTGCTGTCGCGGCGTGCGCTCCATCACCTCCTCTGAGACCTTATATACACCCTAGGGCTCTTAAACCTCGGGTCCACCGCGGTTGGCTTGTGCGCTGGCTTCACCTCAGCGGGAAATGCTCGGGCTCCAAAATAGCGCAGGGAGGCCGGATAAAAGACTTGGGACGGCGCTGCCAAGTCGCCAAGCCACCGCCGACCCACTGTTCCCGGCATGCCGCGCCTTCTTACTTCCTTCGTTGCCCTTGCAGTGACGCTCGCCCCCGCCCTGGCGCAGCCAGCCGTGTCCCTGTTAACGGACAACGGATACCCTACTTCAGGGACCCTCAATCTCGTTTCGACGCTCCAGGCAGTATCCACGCGCAAAGGCCAAACATTCCACTTCGGCTCAACGTACGACACATACGACGCGAACCAGTCGTGGTTCACTAGTGTCTTCTCCACCTTCTACAAGCACGTCGTCTCCGAGAATGGGTGCGCTTCCACGTTTGATCTGCGCAATTCCACTAAGCGGGCTGTCTAATTAGATGTAAATGGGACGCAACAGAGCCGAGCCAGGGGACGAGTTCGCTCACAGAGTGTTTGGCGTGCCAGAGCTTCGCGACGACGAACGGTGACACTTTCCGGGGGCATAACACCTTCTGGCACTCCCAAACTCCGGTGTGTGTTACCATCTTTGCAAACCGACTTCTCATGTAGGGACACAGTCTTGGCTGCCCGGGTCGTTCTCCGCGTCGCAGGTCGTAAACACCATCATCCCGCAGCACGTGCAGCAAGAAATCCAGGGCATGGGCGCAAGCATTACTTCCTGGGATGTCGTGAATGAAGTCGTCGGTGATGGCGTCAGTAACGGAATGACTCCGCTGCAGTGTGTGCAAAACAAGAAGGTCTGGCCGACTGTAACAAGCGACGGCTCGAGTACGGCGCTTGTCACGGACCTCAGTTTCATATACGCTGCGTTCAAAACGGCCTTCACATATGCGGGAAGCAGTACGCGGCTGGCGATCAATGAGTATAAGTACGTTTTCGTCTAATATTGCGCACTTGGCGGCCCGACTTACCCCCGCGCAGCACCGGCGGACAAGACGCAAAGACCGCCTGCATCATCTCACTGATTCAGAACATCCAAAACAACACGGCTATCCCGTTCAACCGTCTTGCCGTAGGCTTCCAGTCGCATCTGACGGCGAGCACCGGCGGTTTCTACACCAAGTCCGCGCTCGCGACGACTTTCTCGACCCTTGCGGCGCTCGGCGTCGAGTCGATGATCACCGAGTTGGACATCTCGCTCAACTCAAACAATCAAGCCAATCTGCGCTACCAAGCTGCCATCTGGGGCGACTACCTTGATGTATGTAATTTCCACCAAATCCATCGATATCTGACGGTTGATCACAGGCTTGTCTCTACGCAGCGAACTGCAATGAGTTTATCAACTGGGACCCGCGAGACGACCTTTCTTGGCGCGGAACCTCCGCCGCTGCGACGCTGTTCGACGGGAACGGCAACCCTAAGCTTGCCGCATACGAGGTTGCGGCCCGGCTCGCCAACTACGCTGCTGGCAACGCTGAACCATGCGCTACGGCGTCGGGAACCAGCGTGTGCACCATAACCGGATCAGGCCCCGGGACAGGAACTGGAAGCGGCACGACCACGGTCAGCAAAACGACGAGTGTGGGGTCAACGAGCGTGAGCACGCCCGGCGGCGGGCCGACTGGGTGCACGTCCGCACTCTATGGGCAGTGTGGCGGGATGGGTTGGACGGGGTGTACCAGCTGCGCGAGCGGCTCGACGTGCAAGTACTCGAATGCCTGTGAGTCGTTTTGATTGTATGTGCGGTGGAGACGGCGCTGACACACCATGGCAGATTATTCACAGTGTTTGGCTTGAGACGGAGCACCCGGGCGTTGGAGGGGTAGGAGGAGAGACTCGGAGGGCGTGGGCGAGCACACTGTATGATATAAGTAAAATGAATCAAATTTCGTTTGTAGATTCTGCGCTAGATACTCTGGGGTCTCTCTTGAAACAGATGTGAATCTAATAATTAAGTGATTTCCATTTGATACATGTTGTTTTATCCCTTTTTATTGAGTATATACGAGTTTGGTGGGAGTGGGACTCATGCCAGTCCCACTCCGAAGCCATTTGACAGCGCTTATAGCCCTTTTGGTGGGACTGAATCCATCAAGTGGGACTCGTCGCTTTGACAGTCCCACCTAGTGTTGTCTAGGGCCGGGCTGCCCTGCCAAGCCCCACTTAGGGCCGGGCTTTCCAGGGCTGGGGCTTGACTCTGAGTCAAGCCCTGGCCCCAGGCCCTGCCCTGCCCTGCCCTGCCCAGGGCCTGAGGCTTAGGCCCTGTCCTGGTCAGTGAGCTGTTTGAGTAGTACTTGGCAACCAAAAGAGGACATGTGACTGATGCTAAATCACTAGATCAGTCACATTGACTTTATTTTGAGTACATATTCACTATTACAGCTTGTTTACAGTACCATATCAATGAAAATGGTTAGCCATCACAGCCATCACTAGATTGTGATGGAACTGGAAGCTTCTGAGCATCACATTCGTCACATTTTGTGACTCCGGGTCACTCTGCCGGCCATCAGGGCCTGGCAGGGCTTAGCCCTAGGGCCGAGGGCTTCACCACAGTCAAGCCCCGGCCCTGGGCCCTGACAGGCCCTACCCAAGCCCAGCCCTAGGCCGGGCCTGGGAGGGCCGGGCCGGGCAGGGCTTGAGGGCTTAGGCCCGGCCCTGGACAACACTAGTCCCACCAATATTGTTGTCTTCCATCAACGGGTTGCGGCGCCGGCCGCGGCGGCCGGGGTCTTCCACCCCGGACCCCGACCAGGGCCTTGCCCTGGACCCACCCTGCCGGGGGCATCCGCTCACCGCGTGGCCTGCTGCACAGAGCTTTTCTTATTTTTTTCCCTGATTTTACAGGCTTAATCAAGGGTATTTTCACGAGATTGCGGCGCCGGCCGCGACGGCCGGGGTTTTCCACCCCGGACCCCGACCAAGGCTTCGCCCCGGACCCCACGCTGCCGCGGGCTGCCGCTCACCGCGGAGGCTCGCTGCGCGACGCCGGCTAAGTCCCACCGCTGATCTTGCATCAGAGGGCCTTGGACACGATCAGAGTGACCGGCTCTGAGTTCCACTTTGATAGGATTGGGTGGGAGTGGGACTGGCACGAGTCCCACTCCCACCATTCTCGTGTACCCTCCTTTTTATTTTTGTTTTATTTGTGGGTGAGAAAAATTGAAATGTGTTGAAGAAAGAGAGGAAAGACCAATGTTTATTCCACACAGTATTTATATACTACTCTAGTTCTTCTAGTAATTTCTAGCTCAATGAGTCAGTGGAATGTCATAGAACAATCCCGACGCGGAGCGTCGGTGATGGCGGTCCGGTGACTGACGTCATCCGGCGGGCGAGACTGGGGTTCGCTACCCCATACATCAACAAAATGCTAGCCTTTTATATACAAGGCGCAGTACCTACTAGCCCCTCCCGAGCGAGGGCACTAATTCTGGAAAAAGAAATAATTGATGCTTTCCTGTCGGCCATCATAATTTCGTGACTCGATGTGACTGCCACGTCACCCTCTCACCTTCTTCCACCTGCTACACGCGGGGCTCACATGCTCTTGGAACTATCTAGCCTCAACCCTACCTGATAACTCCGCTTCTACCACGGGAGTCCCATCGCCACAAGTGCATGCCCGGCATTCGACGCGTTATGCATTCCCTGATTAGGTCCACTGTCCTCGTCTCCACCCACCCACATGTCTCTTTGTGCATGCGATGAGTTATCTACCGTAATTCCCGTCGCATCGAGAATGAATCGGAACTCAACAGATGTATGTCGAAACCCCATTTTTCGCGCCGTCCCTTAATTTCATTGATTTCATTGTATTGGCAGTGATGCTCACAGACGAAATTGCCGCCAGCATATAAATAGCAGGGCAGAGGGACTGCGAACCACGGTCCTGTCTCCCATGGCCTTCCTTACACTCTCCATCTTCATCCTTTCCGGACTCCTCCTCACAACGGCGGACCCGACTGTCGCCCACCCCGGGAACGCCGTCGAAGCGTGTGCCTCGATAAACAAGTCCTTGGGATCCCCCATTGTCCAAACGTCTTCGGGACCAGAATACAACTTCACCGTCAATAATGCATGGAATGTCCAAAACACACTGTTCAAGCCGGCGTGCATCGTGTTCCCGCGCCAAGCGTCTCATGTTCAGACCGCCATGAAAGCGATCTTCAAGGCCAAGGTGCACTACGCTGTGCAGGCCGGCTCGCATACGGGGATGAAAGGATGGAATAAGTGTGTCATCATACCTTCGCAAACCCATGTCTGATTGTATTGGTGTTTAGCGTCCAGGATGGGATTCTGATCATGTTCTCACATATGCAGAGTCTGTCGTATGACGCGCCGTCCCACTCCGTCACTTTTGAGCCTGGAATTCACTGGGGAAACGCAACCGCTGCACTTTCTCAATTCGGCGTCGCCGTCGTTGGAGGACGTGTCGGGTGAGAACTACCATCAAATCACTCTAAGCTCCGGGCATTAATAATGACTAGCGACGTCGGCACCGGGTTGCTTCTTGGTGGTGGGATTTCTTTCCTGAGTCCTTCTCAGGGATACGCAGCCGACAACTTTCTGTCACTCGATGTGGTCCTTGTCGATGGAACACTTGTCACCGCAACAGCAAGTAACAAATATTCCGATCTATTCAAGGTACTGAAGGGTGGGGCAAATCGGTTCGGAATTGTCACCAAATACACCGTTCGGGCGGTCGATGTAGGGACAGCCAATGAGACTCCCTTTTTTGGGGGACATATTATTGTAATGTTTCCTTGGTATAACAAAAGATGGGAACTTGATGCTCTACTTAGTATAACTCCTCCTATGCAGCCACATTGTCCAAAGCAACAGCAAAATACACAAGGGAGACAACAGATTCCAAAGCAGGTAACTCATCCAATAATCAGGTTTAATTTCCTGCTCTTATAATAATCAGCATTGCTCTTTACTATCACCACTACACTTATCAATGGTGTTGCTCAACAAGTCTGTGTTCTCTTCCTCTTCTATCATGGCACCGCTCTCCCACAGTCAATCTTTGGGGATTTCCTCACTGTTCCTGCAATTACAAAGGAATTATCCCCACTTAGCTGGACCCAAATTCTTCCTGCACAAGACCCACCTGACTTTGTCAGTTCGAATCGAGGCTTTGTACAGCACTTCAGTGCTTCTGCTGTTGTTCCTCAAGACAACCTTGTGCTTGATGCTTTATCACACTTCCAGAACTTTAGCAGCACCTTCCTGCACAATGGGACTCAGTCTGGGATGAATACAACCTCCTTTGTTCTGACCCCAATCCTTACAACCCAGATTGCGGCAGGCCATGCAAAGGGTGGGAATGTAATGGTTTCACCCAGCTTAAAGGGCCCCTACCTCAATGTGCAAAGGAGTGAGCAATTTGATGCTGGAATCACTGATATTCCCCAATTTGTGCAAGATGGTATGAATCTCTATATTAAGCAGTAAGCATTAGCTTGATCTATCTCTCTCTATGTGCATGTGGCTTACATTTATGTTACCAGAGTGCCACCTTCACCTGGTCTACCCCTGTGTATGTGAACCCCCCCTTTTAAAACTTCCTTTTGACCTTTGATATTCAGTCATCAATGAGTGTGATAAGGGCCAGAATGTCTACAAGACTTATGGAGAGTTTGAGCTGCTTAAATCTACTTACAAGAAATATGATCCTACCAGGTGCAGCAAATGCTTATCCTCATTTCATACCTGACTCTGGACCACAGATTCAATATGCTGTTCACTGAGGGGCCTATTGGGCTCTGAAAGTAGTTTTGAAAGGGAAGATAACCAAACCAGAGCCTATAATATATTGTGAGAAAGCCCCTAGTGTTATGTAGTCAATTCTGGTCTGTGATACTAAGCAAAATTACTTATGAAGCTTGTGTCAGGGAAACCCCCCCTTTTGGCCCCTCGGAGACGCGTCTGATTCTGGTCTGATTCTGATGGCGTTTCCGGTCCGGCCCTCCATCTTGTCTGCACAATGACCGATCTGTTAACACCCTCCCAACGGTCATCCTGGGACCTTGCCTGTGATGCTGCCCAAGCCCTCTGTGCCCCACTGCTGCAGCTACGGACAAGCAGTATATAGTCAGCTGCCTCGCAGGCGGACCCTTAGAGTTTCTTCTCTTTGGTCTGCCTGCTAGGTAGCGGAACTATATACTGCGCTCTTGACGTGCCAAGTTTGATTGTTGCTCCGTACAGTATGCCTGCACCCTGTCGCAGGCCAGGTCCCAGGGGGATCGCCTGGCGGAGGCGGTGATGCGATTGATGGCGGTGATGCGATCACCGGAATCAGAATCAGGGTGATTCTGGGCTGAAAGGGGGGGTTCCCCTGACTAGTGGTCTGCCGGGCCAGGCTTTGAGCCCAAAGCCCGGCCCAGCCTGCATCGGGCAGCCCGGATCAGGGCTCGGGTTAAGTCGAGCCTCGGGCTTCTGTTGTAGCGATGCCGGGCCCGGGCTTAAAGCCTGAGGGCTTGGGCCGGGCCTGTCAAGGGCCTCGGGCTCGGGCCTTGGAATTCCTTGGCCCAGGCCCAACAAAGCCCAGCCCGAAATTGGGCTGGGCTCGGGCAGCCCGGCCCGTCATACCACTACCCCTGACATCACCCCCCCCCTTTGAATGCGGTGTCCCGATGCATAGATCGGAAAGGGATTGTGTCGGAGGTTGCGGAGGCGATGTGCCGTAGTTTGCTGGGGTACCTATGATAGACCTCCGCGATTTTGTCTGGGGCAAAGACACGGTCGAAACAGACCCATTGTCATGCGACGCGTCGTAGCCTTTCCACCCAACGAAGTAGTTTAGCCGCCTATACCTGATCCTAGCATCCAAGATCTCTTCTACTTCCCATTCCGGGACTCTGTCCTCAAGGTCCGGAGGGGGCTGGTCGTAGCCGGGGCATCCATTGAAGGGGTTATCTTGAGCGAGCTCAAGCTTGATGACAGGGAAGACTGGGTGGAGCTTCGAGTAGCGCAGAGGGAGATCGAGCTTGTAAGCGCAGAGGGAGATCGAGCTTGTAGGCACCTTTGCTGATCTCCGCAACTATCTTGAATGGTCCTAGTCTCCTAGACGGCGATGAGAGAACTTCTCCAAGGGGCGAGTTGTCCTGATTTCAGAGGTATCCAGCCAAACCCGGTCGCCAACCTTGAACTCCAGAGACGGAGTGCGTCTCCGATCGATTAGACACCAGAGTTCTCGGGTGAAGTCTGTGATGAACTGCGAGACGCAGTCAGAGACGTACTTTTCCGGAGTCCTGTGATGGTGCCAGACATTCCGGTAGTAGAGGCAGGCTGCTCCTACCGCATCGACCATGGTGTGACACTCCGAGAAGTGCGCTTGCTTTCCGAGGGTGTCCACAACAACCATGATCGTGTCGTGTCCGTGGGCCTTGGGGAGCTCGATGATGAAGTCGACGGAGATGGTATGCCAGCGCTCTGGGGGCGTCTCTGTTGGGTGCAGCTCTCCGTGCAACAGCATAGGATTGGTGCGACAGCATAGGTCACAGGTCGCGACAAACCGGCCAATGTGGCAAGACATCTGAGGCCACCAGTAGTTCCGGGAGACCAATTCCAAGATCTTGAAGCGACCAGCATGTAGTGTCATGACAAAGCTCGATGATGCGTCTCTGCAGGTCCTTGTCCTTGGGTACAACAATCTTCCCATGAAAGTGGAGAAGACCACCGGAGACGGCCCACTCGTCAGAACGGGAGGAGCGGGGGCCTCGAGCTTAACCTTGGACTTTCACCCTGTATAGCCCTTTCTATGGAAAAGATGTGGGCTGAGGCCCAGGGCACCATTGCAAAAGATGTGGCCACCAGCCTAGACATAATGTATTTCTTAAATTAAAGAGTCAATTTAAGAGATATGACTAATATTACATAATATATGAGAAGCTGAGTCACCTTTTCTTCAGGCCGATGATTCATTATATAGTACTAGGGATTAAATAACACAGGGAAAGGAAATTGATGATTATTAATATTCCATTGATGCCAGATCACTGGAACATTAGAATCAGTGATCTCTATCAAAAATGGTTCCACATTGGTTCTTATATATAAAAGGCCGTGGCTGCATTGAAAGCAAACCATTATAATAGCTCAGCAAAAAACATATACCAAGATGAATAATGAGTCGTCCATCTAGACCAGGTTGACAAACTTCAGCCTGTTCTTCTTGCTGAACAATTGAGTGAGATTAAACGGAGCCAAGAATGGCTGCGGCATCATGTTGTTGATTGTCGCTAGAGTTGCTGTCCCACCATTCGCCATTTGGAGAAGTCGGAATGGAAGTGCATCGCCTGGCACATAGTCATCGTTACCGAAGTGGGCAGCACGTGCAAAGGACCAGCGGGTAGGTGACTCCTGCATGTCCCGCTTCAGCATCCCCATGAGAGCCACGATTGTTGTCTGTTGTTGTGGCGGGAAGCGTGTATCGGAATTTGAGATTATAGGTGGTTAGAAAGTTGTTGAAATCCGGATTCAAGCTGCCTGAACATGATAAATTTGGTCTGCTTTGCAATGAGCAGGAGACACCAAAGCGATGATGAAGATAACTAACCGTGGGCAGAGGACCTGAACTTCGATTCGCACATGCTGCACACCAGTGCTGAGGTCGACCAAGAAGACAGCATCGACAAGAGCATCATTTGTCAGGATCAGGATCAGCAACCCGCTCCACCGTTGATCCGAGAAGTGGGGCCTGCGTGGGGATTCTGAACAGCAAGGGATGCGGGCCGAGAAAAATGGTTTTGGATGGCTGTTGTGCGTGTTTCTCGAGCCACAGAGATAGCCGCGGGAGTCGGAGCAGCAATATGGGGTTGTTGTATGCTGTTGGCCGACATTGCAACGCCCAGAGATGTGGTGCTGACAAGCTTTCTCACTGGTGTGAGAAAGAACAAGAAAAGCAAGAGCCCTTCAAACTGCTCTAACTGCAACCAAAGGCTACAGCACAACCAGAGAGAGAGAAGAAGAGGAAAGACTTTGGACTCTGAGGGAAACTCTGCTGGGGGAAACTATATGATATGATCTGGAAACTAAACTAGAGACAGGCTTATATACACTACTAACTAGGAGCTAGGAGAAGGAACAGGAACTATAAGGAACCATATAGGAACTAAGGAACACATAAAGGGAGAGATCAGGAACAACTACCAAATATGAACAAACAAACACAAACAAGCTGAAGGCTTGTCAGTGCCAGGCAGGGAGAGCAAAGCAGATGGTGGGGTGTCGCTGAGCCTGAGACCGGCCAAGGATGCCCTGTCGAGAATGGAGTCGTTGTTACAGATCGATGGCCTGATACGGGCGGTGTTGTGTACAGTGTGATTGGAGCCGCGGCAGGAGCAGGAGCGGACCCAGAAGCTGTTGCGCCAGTTGTTATGTGTGGTACAGGTGTGGGTGGAGGTGTCTTCGTTGAGCCCTCCACTTGCGGAATTCTTGCCATTCTTGAAGCTCTTGCGGATCAATGTCAGCAGACATTCGCTGGTAGTCACATTAGAAGGTTTTGCTCAAGGATAAAAACAAGGACCTACGAAAAAAAGGAGGGTAATAAATGAGTGTACTGGTTGGGAGGCAATAGTAAGGGGGGGAGAAAGTGAGCCATTAGGCATCGAAGAGCATCTTATAGGGCGGCGAGACGACCATGGTCGTCTGGAAGTAACGTGTTACTTCTTAGAATGGGAAGGATACATGCGCATCCACTAAGCTCCTAGCAAAAGCTTAGACTTTACAATGATAAAAACCGTCATACGCAAGGGTTGGGGCCACGGCGTATGCATCTGGTTGTGTACTATGAGAAGCTCAAGTTACAACTTGGCATTAATAAACCAAGAAAATATAAATGTACAACAGATCAGCATCAACTCGACGAGCCCATGGGCAATGCTCGTCAAATTGAAGAGGGGGCTCTGTTGCTAGTGTTCATCACAGGCCACCTACAGGTAAATCTGGGGTGGCCTGTACCCGTCCCCTGCGGATGGCCCGTGGCAGCGGGTGCGGGTACCCGCGCTTTAGCGGGCGGGCCGCGGGTAGTGCCCACGTAATATGATCAGGGGCAGATCTCGGCGCCAAGGTCAAGTTATCGCCCGACAACAAGGTCTGGGCTGCCTGGACTTTGGCCAGACTGCCGTTCCAACATCATCAAGTGACGCAACAGCTTCCGGCCTTGACCGGCATGCCAGTCAGCTGGGCCCGGTAATGAGCCGTCAATATGACCATTATATGAATACTAATATATGGACCCCATAAATTCATTTTCATGCACAATAGCCATACAACATATGGAGAATCTCAGAATAAATGTTATAATCCTTTGAATCAAATCTATCTGCACCCGGCAACAAGGCCTAGGCCTGCTCTAGGCCAGGGACTGGTCTAGACTCTGAACCGAACCAAGGGGAACATGTCCATATTTGGCAAGTCTGACCCAGGACCTATATTAGAACCTTCCAGAAGCCTGTAATTAATTTGAGAGTAGTCTATAAGGAGGCCTGTAAAACCCTAGATTAATAGATTAGCCCCCCTGGGTGTGACTACTACCATCGTCGCATCAGTCGGGATTTGTCACACTAGCTTAAGATAAACGTCAGGTTAGGTTAAGTCAAGTCAAGTCAAGTCAAGTTAGGGAGAGTTGAGCCATATTGCTCCTCTCAACAATCTCACACCATCTCAACCATCTGCTCTATTGTTCATCTAAAGTGAAAACAGTTAAACACAGTTTAAACAGCATCCCAATCCAATAAGAATATCTGAATCTGTTAGCCGTTTCCTGCGGCTTGAACCCAAACACAAACCACACAAAATTAGGATTTGATTAGTTGAGTTGAAGGTCCTGGTGATCTCCTTGATTGCTCATTTTCTACGTATATTACTGGTTTGGAACTTGACTTGTATATAGTGTCCCTATCTTTCAATGTATTTTTTTTCATGACATGACATGCTTTTTTTTTCTGGTTTTTTTTCTGTTGTTATATGGATATTTACCACCATACTTTGGGTTGTCTTCAGGTTTAAGGAATTTAAAATAGTGTCTGCCCTGTTTCTCAGTCTATGAGCACATTCAATCAATCTGAGTAACTTACAATCAATATAATTAATAGTTGTACGACATCAAGGTGGTATGTTGCACCTCAGTTTGGACACTGACCTGTCAAGTGTGAATATAATCTTATAGCCAGGAGCTGTCTAGAGCCTCCCAATATCACAATTAACAAATATGCAAATTGATTCTTTGAGAAAAACACAAGGGGGGTTTGATAATTGAATCATGGATATAGGCTCGGAAAGTTTTTTTCCGACCCTCCCTGTCCTGCCATATAGGGTAATATGTTCCCACGATTCGCATCATGTGACCACTGATGCAATCAAAAACTGGCCTAAAAATTCAATCTTTGTATAACTTTTTCTTTCTATATATGTGTATGTGTATATGTGTAGATATGTATCTAGAACCCTTTACACACACATGGAAGGTGATGTCAACTCTTCAAATATGTTTACCTCTCATTAATTACCTGATGATAGGCCTGTGACAGGGTGAGCTATACAAGCTTATGGGCCTGAAAGTATATAGTAGGTTGTGAACTATAGAAATTAGAGTGTATACACTATATTTTCAGTGTCTTTACACCCATATAAGGCTGAGATCTTTCATATACAAAAAGTTTATTTTACCCCCTGGGGACCCCCCCCCTACCCCATGTGCCTGATAAAAATCTTGAACCCCCCTTGGAAAAACAGTTGTTTTGATTGTAAAACCAAACAATCAATTTGTGCTTAATCAATATAATTGTATATAATGCAGATTGATTAACCTGAACTCAGATTGATTGCAAGTACTAGTACTCCCCACAGTGCAAACCTTATATTGACCCACGTGGTAATGACTCAATCGATCAATCAGCATCGTCGATCATTGTGATACAGATCTTCGTTCCTTCGCCTTTTCCTTCATCCTTGTTGACGATACAGTCTACACGGTCGTCCCGCCCGGCAGCCGGTTGTCTTAGGTAGAGTCAGTTCTGCGGCTGTATCCCGAGTGTAGCTCTGCCATTAGGAGAGCCTGCCTATATCACCTGTTGATCACCTGTATGCGGTGCGCGGATCTTCTCCTCTCTGTTCATGAAATCTGACCATGTGGCGTATTGTCCAGGGGCTCAACAGGGTAGCACGCCAGGTTACAGACTTTTGCATAATGGAGTGCAGTCGTGATCGATGTGCGAGTAGCATTGACACTCAGGCTGGGGACAAGAGCCGCTGGAAATGACTTCACGCGAGCCATCCGCTGAATCCGCGTGGGCGGTGCCAGTGGTAGTGACCCGGGGGCCGCGACCCACTTAGGGGAGATCAGAGGATCGGATTCAAAAGTCCATCTGCATTTTTTGCACCCGCGTCTGCGTCTTTCCTTCCCCGCCCTCCTGCACCGCACAACCGGTGGGCAAACTTGAAGGCGAGACGATGTTCGACACAACGCTGAAGACGCCGACGGGCAAGGTCACATTCAACTATGTCATCTCGACGCCCACGCAGACAGCAGTGAAGAAGGTGCCCAAGGCCGAGCGAGGGCTGCCCGCCGTCGTGTTCCTACACCCAGTGTACATCGGAAAGGTCATCTACCACCGTGCGTCCCTATGTTCCACCGCTGAAACTCATGCTAATATGAAACACCAGCGCAATTCGCAGACGCCCAGCTGCGCCGCTTCACACTCGTCGCCCTTGACTTGCGCTGCCATGCGAAGACCGTAGGCCGGGCCGGAGCGGGGTATGGTCGGGAGGTGGCGGCACAAGATGTCGCGCTCGTCATGGCCTCGCTCGACATCGAACAGTACCACATTTTCGGCATGTCTATGGGCGGTTGCGTCGGGCTCCAGACCGCCATCCTCTTTCCCGCGCACGTGCTCTCCGTGTTCGTTGTCTCGAGCCTTCCGCTGACCGAGCCGGAGGATGTCGCCGAGGGAAGGCAGGAGATCTGTGACTGCTGGGCGGAAGGCGCGCGGAACAACGGCGGGAAGGGTGACTTGAAAGCGGAGGACAGCGCGATGCGTGACGCCTTCACCGGAGCGGCGCAATTGAGCGTCAACGGGGAGCCGAACGAGATGTTTAATGCGTATGTGGCTTTCATTTGATCCCGCATATCTCTTCTGAACTTTGGCGCAGCATCCTGGCGCGGTCTATCGAGCTCCTCGGGGACAAGTGGCCAAAAGAGCGCCTCGAGGACTGGCAAGTGAGCACCGTGGACTTCTTCACGCTACGCAAGGCGTACACGCTCGACTCTCTGAGCAAAATCCGCTGCCCGATCCGCCTGGTGGGTCCCCTCTCATGCATTCCTCCTGCCCACTTATCACGGAACAGATCCACTGCGGTGCGGACATCGCCTACCCTCTCGACGCAACAGAGGAAGTCGCCAACCGGCTCCGCACCGCCGGCGTCCAGGACGTATCTGTCCAACAGCTCGCCGGCGCACCGCATTTCGGCGCAGTCACGCATCCCAAAGAGTCCGTTGATTTTTCTTTCCTCATTCGCGAACACTGATACGATTTCAAGGATCAATGCGCTGTACCACGATTTCTTGTCCGCGCTGATCCCGCCCGAGAGCCTCCCACCGCTGCCCCCGCGCGATAGGATCGTGTCGCCGTGGCTGGCCGAGCTGCGCAAGTGTGGGCTCGAAGATGAGAGCGGCGAGGATGATTAGTCGTCAAAGACGTTTGACTTGCATGTATTCATAGCATCAGGATTCAGGATCTTGATAGGGCTCCACCCATTTCTTTGTACAACTGTTTCTGTGTACAACCCGTGTAAGGCTCAACCCAATACAATACAATACAATACTCAATATAAGTATTGGGTTCTGATACATAAACAGGGTCAAATTAAAAATAAAATAAAATAATCAAAGTATAGGAAGCTCCCACACCTCACCCCCCTCCCTGACGCCTTCCAAAAAAGGCAATTTGATCCTCGTTCGAACCCCACCTAGCACACTTATAAAAAGTAATTTATTTTGAGGCTCAAAGCCTGTCTGTATTGAGGAAAACCTCTGTCTTCTTGCGATTAAACAATACCTAAAATTATTCATGGGATATTACCGGCTCTATTGAGTGAATATGTCAGGGCCACTGTATATTGGTCTACCCCTGGCTTTTCTCTTCCATCGTCTCTTCTCTCAGATGGTTGGCATTACATTGCGATGTATTCCTGTTGCAGTGATTGCTCTGTGTTCGATCCTTTTGGCAAGCATATTTTTGGAGTGTTTTGTCACATTCCCGTTGATTGTGACACGAGAAGGTGCTCGAGACACTGCGGGGTCAGATCGTGGAGGTCGCTATCGACGGAACGCGTAAGTGGCCACGGCACTGAAGTTTTATCTTATCTGACTGTCGGATTAGATGGTACAAATTCGAAACATCTCGAGCTGTTCACGATGCTCGCAGAATCAGACAACGCGGGGTTCCCGTTGTCATATCTACTGCTTTCAACTACTGAGGCTGTCGATGTCGGGAAGAAGAAGAAAGCGCTCACCGAATGGGCACACGTTCTATGCGAGCGCTATGACATCCGCCCTACCTTTGTCCATATCGACAAAGAACAGGCCGAGATTGCGATGGCCCAAGCTGTGTGGCCATTAGCCAAGATCCAAATCTGCTGGTGGCATCTGAAGCGCGCCATCAATGAGCGGCTGTCGAAAGCGAAGTTGTCGACAACGCCGTATAATCCGGACCCGGCGCACGCGGAATTCGATTTTATCGATCCGAAATTCAAGCCCGCAGGACGAGCCGATCCGAAGGAACACGAGGGTGAGGCTTACGACTATCAGCCACGGCGCAAGAAGAACAAACGCAAGAACAAGAAGCGGCAGCAGCCACTTCCTATGCCCACTCGTCCACCAGCATTAACTATTAAACCAGGCGTATACGGGGTTTTTTTTAAAAAGATCCCTTGTAATTAGAATATTAACATTTTTAAAAAACATCAGTGATTTACAAGTCTTCCCCTCATTTTAATAAAATCCACGCTGTCAAACTCCATATCTTTCTTGGCACCTTGGCATCAACAATTTTTTTCATCTTTTTTAGCCTTTCCCCTACTCAGTATTTTCCCCATACTTAAGGAATTTTCCACACGTCAGGTCTGGGGCCTTATGGCTACCACACTGCCCACCCTGACAAGGCTTTTCAACCTTTTAAACCTTTTTTTGATCTCTCATTTCCCTATGTAAAACCCGCCTTTTGGCAGGGGCATAAATTAGAGGCATTTTTTAAAAACATTAACACTGGTAATGAGAAGGCTTTTTTAAAAGAAACCCCGTGTACAGGTGATTAAACTGCCTTCCACTCAAGAGCCACGGCACGCAACATCTAGCGGGGCCCGTGAGCTCAACGCCGGCGGCGAGGATGAAAGTGATTTTTACCTGGACTCTGATGGCGACAGTGACTCGGACTCGCCGGACGAAGGTAACGAACCGATGGATGTGGACTCCGAGTCGGAATCCGAGATTGATGAGGAATCTGCACATCGTGTGTTTTGTCCAGAGCGGTCCCGCGACCGTGTTATCGCCTTCGTCGAACGACATCTTACAGCCCACCCGTCTATTCCAGGCTTCGCCCATCCAAGCGCCGAGGGCATCCGGGCATGGGCCGTCAATGAAATGTACTCATTCTGTGTTGCAGAAGGACGGCCGGAGCTGTGGGCCTACATCTGGGAGAACTGGTACCGGCCAGGGCGCTGGGAGCTTTGGGCCCGGTCGGCGCACAAGGACATCCCGCGACTAAAGACAACAATGATGGCTGAGAGCCAGTAAGTTGTTGCATAGGGCTTTGCTGTTCACTGACTATCTGATAGCTGGCGCCGTGTGAAACGCGATTTCCTCAAGCACTTCAAACGACCCCGACTGGACTTTCTAATATGGCTACTCTTGGTTCGCCTAATGCCCTCCTACTACCGTCGACTCGAGCTGATGGCAGCGGACACTGGCCGTTACCGGGAGCTGCCGTCGTGGCGCAAAGACTTCAAGCGCGAGTGGCGGCGCTGTGCAACAGCGGCGATTACTCTGCCGCTGAACGATCAGTACCGCCCGGATGCACACAGATGGGTTTGCACTTGCCCATCCTATGCAAAGAGCCGTTTTCTTGTCTGCAAGCACCTCGTTCAAGCTGTGCGCCCCGTTGAGCCGGAGTTTTTCCTTGAGGTCACCCGCAATCGGACACATCCAATCTGGGTGCATCCGTTGCTTATCGCCGTTGACACCGGCGCTCCGATCAATGCCGCCGCCGCCGGGCAGTCGCAACTAGATGATCCTACTCAAAGAAGATCAGCCGAGCCAGACGACGAAGAGTTGGTCGAAATCCGGGCGCAACGACGGACAGCGCGAGAGCGACTCCAATCGCACATCAATGTTCTCAAGGACTTCATCGGCGGCCTGGAGCACCAACTCCAGTTCTCTGACCCGCGTTTCGTTGACACGCTCGAGCGGCAAGGTGCTGGACTCTTCAAAATGATCCATCAATGCCAGACTGTCGAACACAGCGCAAACTCTCCCCGGGTAGAGACAGGCACAACTTGGGATAAGCACAACAGCTTGGCAATGTTCTACCGGACACGGCCACCTGCGCGAGACGATGAAGCATAATAAGTTATATACTTAGCTAGCTCTAACACTCAAATACACGGTATAGTACAGCTAGAATGGCTTTTTATACAAACATATATATGACCGTCTCGAACCCGGTCACCTTCCTTTTTGGGACGTCAGGGAGGGGGGTGACGTAGGGGATCTGTATAGGATGCTTCAAGTTATAAGTATATTGTATATTATTAAGTTTAGTATCTGTGGGTCATTCTGTCAGGGGAACCCCTGCTTCGGCCTCCTTCGGACCGTCCGAGTGTCAGCGTCGGGCTCGGGCCGTATCGGGGCGTCGGGGGGTCCGACTTCGAAGGGGTCTGAGGAGCACGAGAGATGGGTATTCGCCCGGAGAATAGACGATATTAGCCTAGCGACTACATCTTGTAAGTACGACTTTTATATGCTACGGTATTAGGGATGGATCGGATGGGCGCCAGGTCCCAGGGCGGATCGGATGGGCGCTGCGTAGGGCCGTAGGGGTGAACGGAAGGGGTTGGAAGAATGAGGGGGCGTCCAGGAGGACGGCGGTATACGGGCCCGTGCGGCCTTATGGCCCGGACGGCCCGACCCGAACCGTGACATCACCCCCTCCGTTGTGGGCGGCGTCTCGACGCCCTATGGGTCCGCGTTCACTGGTCTTGATTTCGGATTTTCCATCGGCCGTTTACGAGTTCTTCGCGGGGCGCGAACGGGTTGAGAGTATAGAAGTCCTCGAGTGCCTCTTCTGCGCCCTCCAGTTTGTCCCGCAATTCCCACGTCCACTCTTCCCGAGGGTAGCCTTTCCACTGAATTAAGTACCTCAGGCGGTGTCGACCTTGCTTGCGTACGAGGGAAATGGCCTCGACTTCGTAGTGAGGCTCGCCGTCCCGCATTTCTGCCGGGGGTGGTGGGGCGGCCCGTTGATGATCGGCTACTGGGGCGTTCCAGGGTCGTAATAGCGCCGTGTGGAATACGGGGCTTACGCGCCAAGTTGGGGGTAGCACCAGTTCGTAGGATGTTTTACCCACTTTGCGCTTGACTTCGAACGGCCCGAACCTCTTGTCGTCCAGTTTTTTTGAGGGTCGATCGCTGGTCAAATTCGTCCCCTGGAGGTAAACTTTGTCCCCTTCGGCGTAATTCGGGTCGGGAGAGTGTTTTCGATCGTAGTATTTCTTCATCGTTTCCTGGGCTTCTTTCATAGCTTCGGCCGCATCGGCCCGGGGTTCCTTCATTCGCTCGGCAAACACTGTAGCGGCCTCGGTCGGGACGTCTTGCGGGGCTTCGGACCCCTTTCTCGGGTGGAATCCCAGCGTGAGGAAGAAGGGCGAGAATCCCGTTGAAGAGTTAACCTTGTCATTAAACGCGAATTCCGCTAGGGAAAGCCAGTCGGACCAGTCACTCTGCTGGAAGTTGCAGAATGTTCGAAGGTATTGCTCGACCTCCATATTCGCACGCTCCGTTTGCCCGTCCGTCTGTGGGTGATACGCCGATGAAGATCGGACCTTGATTCCCAGCAATTTGCTCAAGTCGCTCATGAAATGCCCGATGAATTGCTGGCCCCGGTCGCTAGTTACTTCCTCTGGGAATCCGTAATCCTTCCAGACGTGATCGCGATATAGCCGAGCGACTCCTTCCCCGGAGATATTTCCCGTGCATGGGAGTACGCGTATCCCTTTACCCAGTCGATCGACGATTACGAGAATTGCGTTGTACCCAGAGGATTCGGGTAGTTGAACGATCAGATCGATTGATATGCGCTGCCATACCCGAGTCGGCACGCTATTCGGGACCAAGGTCCCTACGGGGCGTCTCGGGAATAGGGATGAGCACGGGTCAACCCACGGGTGTCCGGAGGATGACTCGGACCCAGCCCTGCACAGCCACTGATCTGTGACCCGCGGCTCCGGGTACGGGTCACCCGCCGGGTTGCAAGGTGGAGGGAGAATTTGGCGACAAATAATACCGATAAAAAACAGGAGCAAGAGGCATAATTGAACGCGGGACCCCCTGGTGAAGTTCCAACCGGCAAGGCAACAGTAAATCACCATAAGCCAGCTAGACTGAGTAGGCACGGGTTAAGCTGCAGCTGACCC